GGGCAGCATCAACAGCCGGAACTCACGGCACGTGTCCCCGCCAGGCGCTCCTATACAAACTTCAGCCCCAGGCCTCAGGGTGGATAGGCGAGGCTGCTGTGGGACTGCCGTGAACTTACCTACGTGCTCACCGATGAAGACCACGAAGAACGGGGTGACGAGGTCGTTTATCCCCTGGACGTAGCCACTGGCAGGATGACGGATTGCCCAGATGAACAGTATCCTCTCAAAAATCTGAAAGAAAGGGGAGTAGGAGGGTGAGCACACGGGACACCTGGTGTCGTCCTCCGCTGTGTCTGCGCTGAAGCTGCCTTGGTCCAGATCAGGTGACAGTGTCGCAACAGGCCCGGCTCACACCTCCCCTGCCTGGATGCTCCGCCCGCCTCCCTCTGAGACCGAGCACTCAGCACGGCTCTGGGGGCTCTGGGGACCATCTGGTTCCCCATGGGTGAAGATTGGTGGGCAGGTGGGTGGGCAGAAGAAGGAATGGATGTGTGGGTGGTGGAGTAGGTGTGTGGGAAGGGGATGAATGATTAGGTGGATGACTGGGTGGGTGAGCAGACAGACAGGGGTTGGGTAAGTGGGTAGATAGAAGGATGAATGGGTGGGTGGATGGGTGCGTGAACAGGAGGGCTGAGTGGGTGAGCAGACAGATGGGTGCTGGCTGGCGGGCCAGATGTGTGCTCTGAATTTCTCTCATAAGGCAGGTTGTTGTTTTAAACCCCTGGATATGCAACTCTAGGCCCTGGGATTGGGTCGGAGAAAAATGTGGAACGAAATCTGAAACCCAAAACCAACCCAGGCTCCCGGCCAAACAGGGGCAGGTGGACCCCGAGACTGGCCTGGTCCCCTTCGGGGCTGGGCCTGCACTCGCCCCAGGGCAAACAGCACGCAGGTCTGAAGGGGGCGTGGGAGAGCGACGGGCTTCCAGCCCCAGAAGCCCACAAGGGCAGCTGGACTCGGTCCTCAGGGCCGCTGTGCGTGGGGGCCGACTGGATGGCTGTGAGGAGGGGACGAGACACAAGGAGGTGGTCCTGACGCATAAGGGAAACTGGCCACGGAGAGCCTCTGGGCAGCACTGGCCCAAGCCCTGAGCTTGGAAAGGTAGCACAGGAGGGCTGGGTCCAGCAGACACGGGAGGGCGTGGCTAGGCGAGGCAGACCACAGAGTCAGCTGCTCAGGAGAGCCAGCAGGCATGGCTGGACAGAAAACTGATTGGCTTTAAGCCTTTACCTGGCGACTAGTGAGGGTTAACAAATCATAATAAAGCTAAAATAAACCCCTACCCAAGCATCTTCCCATCACATGCACTCAGCTTAGAGACCTCCCCAGTCCCACCTCCCACAAGACCACATCTACAGCTCTAGGAGCCACCACATGGGGGTCCTTCTGCCCAGCACCCACATTCACACACGGTCAGCTGCCTGGTGGGCTGCCACTCCTTCACTCTGAAGAATCCACTGCTCCCACACCTGCCTGGCTTCCAAGCCCTTTAAGCTGTGCTGAGCTCTGGCCCCTCCCCACTGGCACCCTCAGTGACCCCACCCACCAACCACCTGCAGGTCGGGGACCCTGAGGCAGCTCCATCACCTGCAGGAATAATGGCACTTTCAAGGAAGCCAGACTGTCCAGGGGTCACTATATTCGTCCCCAGCAAGTCTTCCTACATCCCCCAGTTCCTACAAGTGCCTGGGCTTGGTGGCCAGCATCCTCTGGGGGGATTTTTATAAATGAGGAAGGGAGCCCCAGCACATAGCCAACTGGGGCAAACCCAGCCCTGGAATCCAAGGCCCGGCCTCCAGCCCAGCCTGACGGCCGTGGTCACCCCAATATGTCCTCAAACCCAGCTCTGATGGCCACAGTCACGCCCAGGTGACCCCAGCTGGCAGTCCCCAGTGGGACAGGAAGGGACCCCAGAGAGCGAGCAGCACACTCTGGCTGGGCAGTCCTGCATGGTTTCCATGTTGGGCCAACAGTGATCCCGAGAGCTGATGTTTAAACAAGATCGAAAAACAGCTCCATCTGCTCACCCACTCACCCCTCCTATTCACGCACCCATTCACCCAACCATTCATCCTTCTATCCACTCACTTACCCAACCGCCATCTATCTGCTCACCCACCCAGCCATCCGCCTAATTGCTCAACAGCGGTCTATCTAAGTACTCCTCACTCAGTAACTCGAGGCGAGTGACACTGGCGGCACTGCCCACGCTGGGAGGCCTGGCCGGCTCGGGAGAAAGCAGCCCTGCCGGGGCCATCAAGGCAGGCAGGAGTGGACTGTGGCACATCACCACTTGGCCAAGGCCAGAGACCCAGCAGCCACAGTGCTGACAGGCCCCACCGAGCCAGAGAAGAGCAGGCCCAGAGTCATCTGCAGGCCAGAAGCAGAGGTGGGGCTATGGGACAAAGTAAGCAGGAGGGTTCTGGGATAGGGCTACAGGGCAGGGCTATGGGGCAGGACTAGGGAGCAGGGCTGCAGTATAAGCTGAGGTAGAGGCAGGGCTACAGAGCAGACAGGGAGTTGGAGCCCTGAAGAGGATTCAGTGAAAGACTAAGCCTGACTGCTTGCTAGGAGGCTCCAGAGTCCAGAGTAGGCTAGCAGCAGTGACCGGCGGGGACTCCCAGGAGGCTGGCCAACAGAGGAAGGGAGCGTGGGACATTCTGCAAGATCAGGACTGCACAGTGTGGACCTGGGGCTTTATGGACCATACCTTGAGCTGCCCTCAGAGAGGGCCACAGAACAGGGACAAGGGCTGCAGGCCGGCATCAGACTCACAACCACGAGGGTGTGTGCACACAGATCCTGCCCCCACCACACCCTCCCTGGCCTCAAGGGAGCAGGATGCCAATGTGGCCCTGTGGCCGTGGGGCTGCAGAGAGGTTGGGTACAGAAACAGCCCCTAACACAGTGCACAGTGAGAAAAACAGAGAGGGACCACCCAGGAGTCAGAGGTGTGTGCTTGGATGGGAGGGAGGGATGTTCATCTGTCAGTCAACAGAGAGAAATTCCGAAGTGATACAGAAAGAGCCAGTGCCATTCGGTCCAGCGAGCTAGCCTGCAGTCAACTGACTGTGGCTTCCTAAGAGCCCAGCAACTATGTGTGTGTGTGTGTGTGTGTGGTCTGCCTTGTACATACTTGCCTATGTTTGTGGCGTGTGCGCCTGTGTTTGTCGCTGTATGTACACCCGTGTCTGAAGATGCACACACGCCTGCCTGTGTGAGTCCATGCATGCATGTCTGAGAGAGGTGGGGGTGCAGAAAGAACCCCCAATACCACCCACTGAGACGGGCAGAGCAGACCAGGACCAGGCGGGGTCTGAGACAATGCGGGCCGGGTTCTCCTGTATCAGTTAACAGTGAGAAATGTACAAACATGATGTCTTGTTGAGCAGTGGAGCCAGGGCCCTGGGACACATGCCTGCACCCACCCCACAGGCCCACCCCTGGAAACGTGGCCTAGGAACATGCCCGTCCGCGTCAAACGACTCTGTCAAGAGCGCTCCCAGCAACACTGTGGGAGCCAGTCCACGGGCAGGCGGCGACAGCTTGCAGATGGGCATTCAAGCGGGCAGCTCAATGACAGAGCAGCAGGGGCTGCCGCACAGCAGGGAACAGCCGTGACCTTTAACAAACAGCACTAGCAGCTGGAAACCTGATACTATGTCCAAGAAGCATTGCACATCATTCCATTCAAGAAAAAGAACAAAGCACCGGCAAAACCACCCAGACCCACAAATGTAAGCATCCAAGCGGAGACGATGCACAGCAGCAAAGAAAGAACTAACCAAAACGAAAGCCACTGCTCGGGAGGCAGCGGGTGTCATGGAGTCCGTCCGTCCCGACGCACAGCGACCGTCCGTATGACGACTGCTCTGTCGGAGCCGTGGTGGCAGCCACTGTGCCCATCAAACCCGATGAGGATCTTCCTCTTTTCTGCTGACCCTCCGCTGTCTCAAGCCTGGTGCCCTTCCCCAGGGACCGGCCCTTCCTGAAACCCTGTCGGAAGTGCCTGAGACGAAGTCTCTCTCACCGTGCCGCTCCCCCAGGGCACTTGGGCTGCACTTCCTGCGGGACAGAGCGGTCTGTTCTTCCTGCCGCCGTGGGACCTGCGAGGCACTTCACCAGCACCGTCCTTCAAGCACATCAATTCTTCGGTCTTCTCTACCCGAGGTCCAACTTTCACATCATTAGAGGTGACTGAAAATAGGGCTTGGGTCGGCCGCACCTTGGTTCTCGAAGTCCCAGCGTTGCTCTTTAACACGACAGTGAGGGGCGTGTCCAGATATTCTGTCCAGTTAGCGCAGGAGAGGGTGTGGGTCACGGGGTTACTTCTGTTAGTGATCTGAAATTTTAATTTTAACTTGTACATTCTGGACTAGGCCATTTTAAGTTGTAGGTTGTGCTTCCTCCCAACGCTTCCTCCCACGCTGTAGGTTGTGTTTTCAGGGGGAGGTCCCCCCCTCCCACATTTCAGGAGTGTCTGGAGTACAGTGTGGTTTTTATTTACAAGGAAGCCTTTAAACAGAATACAGCCCACGTCCTTGGTCTTGGTCTGTCACGTCACCTGTGGATTCTGCATTGTCCTGAAGAGGCCCATCCCCATCCAGGGTTCTAGAGATGGACTCTATATTTTTTTTTTTTCTAAAAGGTTGAAAATTTCACCTCTCACATTTAAGTCTTCAGCCCTGGAGGTTCACTGTTTATTTTCCTGTCTGACATCAATCAAAGACCTGCTGTTTGCTTTTTTAAAAATGAGCAGCATTCCTTGTTTCACCCCTGACCCTGCGGTCACCCCGTCCAGAGCGGCCATATCCACCCCCGCTCTGTCTCCTGCTGCTCCACTGGATGTGTCTGTTGTCCCTGTCAGCACCGTCCAGTCCGTTCCAACGCACAGACACCTCCATGGAAGTCCCGTGGTCACTGGAAAGAAAGCTCTGGCATCTGACAGGGCAAAATCCATCTTATTCTACATGCATGTCTTCGCTGACCTTGGCCCCTCTGCAGACTGACACACACACAAACGCGTCACACACCCCTACACACACAGTAGCATCAGCTGCCAAGTGCCATTTGGAATGCCGGCTGGCACTGTTGTGGAGTTGCACTGAAATTAATAAAGCCATGTGGGGGAGAGCGAACATGTCTGGAGCCCTGGTGGTGTCATGGTTACACGCTGGGCTGCAATCCACATGGTTAGCAGTTCGAAACCACCAACAACTCTGTGAGAGAAA